AGGTCAAAATTGAAAAGTTAATTTATTCTCTGTAAATGTCATATTAAAAAATTGCATCTTCAAAAGCTATTTATCGCAATATAATTAGAGCAAAACTTATTGGCAAAGACTTTTTCATTTAAAGGGTGTCAAAATTATCCCGACGCTCATGAAATCACTACTAGAGTATTAAATCGACTTTGTAACTGGACTTCCAAAATTTTCTTATTGTATTTCACTGTATTTTGGTTACCGCCATATTCTGGCGAGCAATGCCTCATTGGTATATTTGTACCGATACACAGACATACAAGTACTATTTTGTTGGTCCTTGTTTGCTCGTTTCGAAACGGAATATTACTTTTGAAATTGACTCTGAAATCCCAGAATGAGAAATACGAGTGAGGGATATTTACTACAGAGGTTTCGCCCTACGTTTTAGCCAAACATTAGCCTTGCCCAAGTCGGCATTTTTACTTATCTAATCTTGAATTATTACCATAATAGAAATCAAAATAAGTAAAAGAGACCGACTTGGGCAAGGCTAGCCAAACGTATCTAATTTAAGATCCGTAACATAGGCATAGCTAGGGGGTTGCACACCCCCCCCCTCCCATAACCAATAAAAATAGAACCATCAGATAGATGAGGAAAAAAGCTTGCTTTAAAATGATTTTTATTTGAAGCTTCAAGCTCGATTTTGAAGGAAGTTACATCAATTTTTGCAAAATTCAAAACAAATCTTAAAAATTGGCTCGTTTATGCCACGATCGCACCCCCCCCCCCCCCTGACTGAAAACCTAATAAAAAATTGCGATCGCACGCCCCCCCCCCCCCCCCCCCCCTCACTGAAAGCTGGCTACGCCCTTGCGTAACGCTTTCACCAGATTTATGCGACGCAGTTCAATTGAGATGCGGAGAGATGCGATTGCAGGTACGTTTTAGGTATACCCTTTGTGCGAAACCTCTCTAATAATATTTTATTCATCACTTGTTGATATGGATGAGTTTGTATGATATGATCATATAAACAAAGATAAAAAAATATATATATATAAACAAAGATGTTTTACAATCAATATGTAGACAAGTTTAGACATTTCAACTCAGGTGATTTGTGGTTTTGTCGAGATCTTAAATTAGGCCATCAGCCTGGGGGGTTGGTCGGTATCAAATTAGGGGAATAATCGCCATAGTGATTTTTGGGAAGGTTTATACCTCTAGAGTAAGAAAATATGTGATAGCATTGCAACAATTGTAGCTAAATGGGTGTTATCACCCATTTTTCAAAATAGCCGCCGGTGCACGTGTCACAATATAAGAGTGGGTATATCTAAGCACACTGAGATGCAAAAACTTTGATTTTAGGACCTATGTCTAGGTTTTAGGGGTCAAGGATTTCATTTATGTCTAAATCTATGTCATCAAGCAATTATTTCTTATAGAAATCCAAGATGGCTGCCAAAATGGGTGCAAAAACGAATGTAACTACTGTTAATACTCAAGAAACACTCAAGAACAGTGATTTTTGAGCCCATGTCTATGTTTTAGAGGTCAAGGATTTGATTTATGTCTAAATCTGAGTCATCAAATAATTACTTTTCATAAAAATCCAAGATGACCACCAAAATGGATGCCAAATCGAAAATGTAACTATTGATTTAAGCTCAAAGAACACTTAAGAACAGTGATTTTGGAGACGATATCTAGGTTTTAAGGGCCAAGGATTTGACTTATGTCTAAATCTAAGTCATCAAAGAATTACATTAAATAAAAAATCCAAGATGGCCACCAAAATGGCTGCCAAAATGAATATTCAACTATTGATTTAAGCTCAAAGAACAGTTAAGAACAGTGATTTTGGAGCACATGTCTGCGTTTTAGGGGTCAAGGATTTCATTTATGTCTAAATCTGAGTCATCAAACAATTACTTTATATAGAAATATAAGATGGCCACCAAAATGGGTGCCAAAATGAATATTAAACTGATTGATTTAAGCTCATAGAACAGTTGAGAACCGTGATTTTGGAGACAATGTCTAGGTTTAAGGGGTCAAAGATTTGACTTATGTCTAAATCTAAGTCAGCAAACAATTACTTTAAATAGAAATCCAAGATGGCCATCAAAATGGGTGCCAAAATGATTATTCAACTATTGATTTAAGCTCAAAGAACAGTTAAGAAGAGTGATTTTGGAGACAATGTCTGGGTTTTAGGGGTCAAAGGTTTCATTTATGTCTAAATCTGAGTCATCAAATAATTGCTTTTCATAGAAATCCAAGATGGTCACCAAAACAGGTGCCAATAACAAGTAAATGTTGATTTAAGCTGAAAGAACAGTTTATAACAGTAATTTGAGACCATGTCAAAATTTTTGGTGTCAAGAATTTCAGTTATGCTTAAAACTATAAATAATTCCTTCATTTGGATCCAAGATGGCTTTTATTTATTATCTAAACATATAGAGGAGTTAGAACATTAATTTTTGATATTTTAAGTTT